ATAAAACACATATAGATATAATACGTATCCCTGTATTCCAATCCAACATATATAGATATGATACGTATAGATAAAATACGTATAGTGTAAGATTTAGGATCGTGTAGGGGTAATAGTTAGGATTAGTGTAAGTGTTAGGGTAGTGTAGGGGTAATAGTTAGGGGTAGTGTAAGTGTAAGGGTAGTGCAGGGGTAATAGTTAGGGGTAGTGTAAGTGTTAGGGTAGTGAAGGGATAATAGTTAGGGGTAGTGTAAGTGTTAGGGTAGTGAAGGGATAATAGTTAGGGGTAGTGTAAGTGTTAGGGTAGTGTAGGGGTAATAGTTAGGATTAGTGTAAGTGTTAGGGTAGTGTAGGGGTAATAGGGGTAAGTGTTAGGGTAATATAGGGGTTATAGTTAGGGGTAGTGTAAGTGTTAGGGTAATAAAGGGGTCATAGTTAGGGGAAGTGTAAGTGTTATCGTAATATAGGGGTAATAGTTAGGGGTAGTGTAAGTGTTAGGGTAGTGTAGGGGTAATAGTTAGGATTAGTGTAAGTGTTAGGGTAGTGTAGGGGTAATAGGGGTAAGTGTTAGGGTAGTGTAGGGGTAATAGTTAGGGGTAGTGTAAGTGTAAGGGTAGTGCAGGGGTAATAGTTAGGGGTAGTGTAAGTGTTAGGGTAGTGAAGGGATAATAGTTAGGGGTAGTGTAAGTGTTAGGGTAGTGTAGGGGTAATAGTTAGGATTAGTGTAAGTGTTAGGGTAGTGTAGGGGTAATAGGGGTAAGTGTTAGGGTAATATAGGGGTTATAGTTAGGGGTAGTGTAAGTGTTAGGGTAATAAAGGGGTCATAGTTAGGGGTAGTGTAAGTGTTAGGGTAGTGTAGGGGTAGTGTAAGTGTTAGGGCAGTGTAGGGGTAATAGTTAGGGGTAGAGTAAGTGTTAGGGTAATATAGGGGTAATAGTTAGGATTAGTGTAAGTGTTAGGGTAGTGTAGGGGTAATAGGGGTAAGTGTTAGGGTAATATAGGGGTCATAGTTAGGGGTAGTGTAAGTGTTAGGGTAATATAGGGGTCATAGTTAGGGGTAGTGTAAGTGTTATCGTAATATAGGGGTAATAGTTAGGGGTAGTGTAAGTGTTAGGGTAGTGTAGGGGTAAGGAGAGATGTTTACTGTTAGGGCAGCTCTGGGAAATACATGCCCCAGTGGTATTTGAGCTTAGAGAGAGTCCTACGCCTGGGCTGCTGTGATGTTAGCTTCTGCCACTGATTTAATTTAGGAACAAGCTGAATTAATGGACCACTAACGTCATCCAGACCTCTTCATGTTAATAAAGTGATATTGGTGCAGTGGTCCTGTATGTTTATCCTTTCATTTTGCAGAAAGTATAATGTTCAACTTGAAGGGTTAAACGTGCCTCTAGTGACTGTCCTACCAACAGCTACTGGAGGTGCATCCACTGCACTGACCCAATAAAACTCAGTCACATGACACGGCAGCTCATAAAAAGGTATCGAAACCTGTGTTTTCCTATAAAAAGCATTGGCTAGTCGTGTGGTGCCTGCCATGCATGCGCATCAGCTGCTATTCGCTTGAACTGCCGATGTAAGAAGTGACACCTCCTCGATGTCGTCTTGGGAGGTGGAGGTGAGCAACACCAACGACCTCTCCGCTCTGGAAAAGGGTGAGTAAAACTTCTATTTTATTGGGTGGGAATCTATATATAGCTAGGTACGTGTATAACTCTCACTAACCTAGGGCAGACTAGTACATGTATTCACACTGCATATACGTTGGGGCGTTGTTGGTTTTCTAGTGAAGTGAAGATTAGTAAATGATTTACAGCGAGATTATACAGGAACAAACTGTGCACCGTGGGTTAATATATGATAGGCCTCGAGAGTATGACAGGTGTGAGTTGAGATAATCCAAAGTAAGAAAGGGGAATCTGATCCATTATAAAAGTGGCATTTTGTATTTCCGTCACATGTCAGCTTTATGTGCACACCCCGAGGGAGGGAAGGTTGTGTTTTATAGTGCTGTGTTTCAGGGTAAATTTAGGTAACACATGCTACTCCCTGCCCAGCTATTTAATAGTTACCACAATCCAAATTAAGGTCTAAATTGCAGATCAGCATTTATCTTCCAAAACCAGCGAAGGCTAACTTTGGCATGACAGGGTTATTCGCTGAATTAAGATGAATTGCTAAATTTAGCCTGGATTAGAGAAATTCTCCACATCAGTTCTGTTTCCAGTCTGGCTATTTTGGCCTTGCATCTGAAATCCACTTTGAATTCCCAGCAATTGTCTCTTTGTGACTAAGTTTCATCAAGTTTTCAGTGAGCATCATGAGAAATGTAGTCCTAAAGCCTTTGCAGTGGCAAGGTTAACCATGACCGCAATAAAACAATACAAACCTTTGGTCTGCAGTATCCGTTTCGCAAAGAAATAAGATAATAAACCTAATGAAAACTTTCACCTTTAGAATTACCTGCAAGTGTTGCTGGCATTATGTGAGCTATTGTTTGGAAGAAGTTAAAATAAAGAAGAACGTGTTTTTTGCATTGCTATATATTGGTGTTTCAGATCTGGACTGGCCATTGGCCAAACCGCTAAAATGCCTGGTGG